GGTTTGCAGCACTGGGGACTGAGCCACAGCCGCAGCCCAGTCCTTTGTAGTTATCTTGAGACAGGGTCTCGCTAAGCTGTCCTGGTGGGCTGTGGCTTGCAATCCTCCCACCTCAGCCTCGCAGTGCTGGGATGACAGGCGTGGGCTACCTCTCCCACCCCCGGGCCCAGTTCTCACCCAGAAGGGCTCCCCGCGCAGGGGCCCCACCATGGCCATGAAGAGCGGCTGCTGCAGCAGGGCGACCACGGCGCTGACCAGCGACTGCAGGCCGGTGAGCGTCCCGAAGTGGCCGGATGGGAACCTGGGGACCGCGGGGAGCAGGCGTCAAGGCCAGCGCCGCCCCATGCCCACCTCTTGGCGTCTCACGGGCCCCCCTGGGTGCTGGACAGGGTTCCAGGCTGGAGAGGACACAAGGAACCAGGTGGGCCACAGCAGCACATGCTGTCAACCCAGCACTGGGAGGCTGAGGCAGGAGCATTGAAAGCGACAGCCCAGCCCAGGCAACTTGGCTACTGAGCAAGACCCTGTCTCACATTTACAAAACAGTCCTATAAAGGGCTAGAGACAGAGTTCGCTGCCAAGGCTGGGGCTTCAATGCACCATACCAAAAAAATAAAAACGACAGGCTTTGGCTTGTTCTCGGAGAAGGGGTCCTGACAGCCAGAGAGGGCGCTGCAGATGAGCAGGGCCAGGCTGGACCATGGACACAGGAGCAGGGTGGCCAGGTCAACAGCAGGGTCCCCTGGGGAGCAGTGGGGACCAGATGGCCTCCAAGACCAGCATCCAGGAGGAGGCCGAAAGTGGACTCTGCGCGGAGGGCCACGACTCACACAGCAGCGTACAGGCCTCCGCAGGCCGAGTGGAAGAACCCGCGGACTATGGTGTGCAGCACGAAGGTCACAAACTGAAACCGGAAGGAGAGTGAAGAGGTCAGGAGCCCAGTGGCCCGGGGCTGCTGGCGCACACCTGTCATCCCAGCACTCTGGGAGACTCAGGCAGGAGGATCCCAGGTTCAATGAGCCCAGACTGAGCAACGCAGGGAGACCGTGTCAAAATAAGAAGATCTGGGGGTGTGGCTGAGTGGGAACCCGAGTTCAGTCCCCAGTGCTGGCAGAGTGTTGTTCTGGTTTACATCTACGACGTTGCCCACCCCGTTGGGGGCGGAGGGTACCTGGAGGTGCAGGCTGTCGACGAGGCAGGTGATGCCAAAGCCCACGAGCAGCAGGTTGGTCAGGGTAAAGGCGTTGATGGCGTTGCTCAGCTTCTGGGTCCTGCAGTAGCGCGGCTTAGTGGACATGGCAGCTGCCCGGCCCCTGCGGAGAACGGGATGTCAGGTCCCTGCCTCGACCTCCCCTGCGGCTCCCGGCTCCTGGCCCCACGCCCTGCAGGGGGGAGCAGAAAACCTTTCCTCCAACTCTGCCTCTCGACCTCAGCGGCATCAGCCAGGGGGCTGGCCTGGAGCTGGGAATCTCCAGAGCCAGCTGGGCATGGGGGTGCACGCATCATCCCCACTCTGGGAGGCTGAGCCAGGAGGGCCCAAGTGCCAGCCCACCCTGGGCAACTTAGAGACTTAGGGAGACCCTGTCTCAGAATAAGGAATACGAAGGGCTGGGTCTGTAGCTCCATCCAAAGGCCCTGGGTTCAATGCCCAGTGTGACAGAGAGAGAGACTGGTGAGGCCCTGCCCATGGAACCCACAAGTGATGGGGCTGTGTGGAGACCGAATTACAGAAGCCCCGCCACCTCTGCCAGCCCCACTGCCGCGCCTCAGGTCACCACAGCCCTGGCACAGCCCGAGGAGGGAAACTGAGGCAGAGGCACTGGCTAAGTGTTCCCAGGCCCCCAGCATGGCACCACGGGGTGAAGCCTTGCGCTGTTTTGTGCTGCAGCTGGGGATGGAACCCAGGGCTCCCACACGCCCGCAGAGCCCCGCCCATGCCTCCCGCCCTGGGCGTCTGCGTGGGGGGTGACTTGTTACGCCACCCTGGTAGCTGATACACCCTGGGGGGCTCCACAGCGAGCCCCGCACTCCCGGCTCTGGAGCCTGCAGTGTGACTGTCACCCGAGCAGCGAGGACATTAGGATCCCCAGCACAGACACCAGCTCTTCTTCGTTTCTCATTTGCTCGGGTTTTTGTTTCTGGGGTTTTTGAGACAGGGCCTCAAGGTGTAGCCCAGGCTGGCCTTAGGCTCCCAGCGAGCGATCCTCCTGCCTCAACCTCCTGAGTCCTGGGACGACAGGCCTGCACCGCCCTGCCCAGCTAGCTCTTCTTATTCCTAAGCAAGCCACGCCCCTCTGGCCTCAGCTTCCCCGTCTGTAGAGTGGGGAGAGAGTGCAGGGAGATGAGACCCCTATGTGCAAGGCCTGGGGACGGAAACCCCTCGCGGTCCCGGCCCAGGGTCACCTGGCGCGTCCGCCAGCAGCGGGTCCGGCTGGGGCATCCACGCAGTCCCTGATCCTCCAGTCCAGGATGTAGCCGATGAGCGGGCAGGTGAGCAGGCAGAGCAGCTGCATGGCCCCGAACACGGAGGAGTAGAAGCCGACTGGGGGCGGAGCGAGCGGTGGGAGCTGCAGCCGCAGCGCCCCCCCCCCCCAGCAAACGAGCACCAGCCCCAGCCCCCCGGGAACAGCTGTGTCTGGGCGGGCCCCTGCCTCCCTCCCTACCTGTCTCGGCCGCCTTCTGCCGCAGCTCGCTGGTCTCTGCGGGGGTGGGGGGGTGAGTGGCCAGGGGACCCTGCCCCCCCGCGCCACACGCCGTGCGCCCCGCTCACCGTGCGCCTGGCCCCCGGTCACCAGAAACTCCAGCATCTTGTTCATAGCCGCCATGTAGAAGATGATGCGCAGCTGCGTGATGCCCATGGTGAGCAGGCTCCACAGGAAGATGGGGGCGCACAGGCTCTTGCGCAAGGGTACGGACTCTGGGGACGACGGGGACGCCCTTGAGGCCCAGATCTTCCCTTTCCCCTGTCCCTGCCAGCCCTGAGCTACATCCTCAGGCTGGGCTCCAACTTGCAGAGTTGGGATCCTCCTGTCTCAGCCTCCCAGGGTGCCGGAATGACAGCCATGCGCCACCACGCCCGTGCACCCCGCTCTTCACTATCTCCACGGCGTTAGCAACTCTCTGAGACAGGATCCTGCTCTGTTGCCCAGGCTGGTCTTGAACTCCCAGACCCCGGCAATCTTCCCACCTCAGCCACCGTACTGGGGTGGCAGTGGGGGTGATGGCCCTCAGCCCCGCTTTGCTCACCACCCTGTGCCTGGTAGCAGGACCCTGGAAAGGGGCCCAGAGGTGGGCGCAGCTCGCCCCGTGGGCAGCAGGGGGCGCCGGGCACCAGGGCCCGGCCGAGCTTGGAGCAGATCCCACGGCCCACAGTCAGCAGCAGGCCTGGCTCCCCAACCCACCCGAGCCCCCAGTCCGCCACCTGCTTCCAAGCGTGGACTCCCCCACCAGTAGCGGGCAGTGCACCCTAGCTGCATCGGGGCCTGAGGACTGCAGACGGGCGACAGGGACCCCCGAGCCCAAGGCCACCTGCCTGCCTGACACTCACTCTCCGGGGGCTGCTGGGCTGGGAGGAAGGCGCCGGCCCCATCCTCCAGGCTGGGTGCTCTCTGGCTCAGCCGCTGGCCCACGACTCTCGCGTGGATGGAGAAGCGGTCACCTGTGAGCTTGTGGCCCAGGCCAAGCCCCGTGGGCTTCATCATCCTCCTGGGGCACAAAACCGAGCCTCAGCCTCCAGCGTGGGGGCCAGAGCACCCTGCCCAGCCCTGCCTTGCCCGGCTGGCCGGAGGGGGGTGAAGGGTGTGCACCCAGGGTCCCAGCTGCGGGCCTCACCGCTGCCCCTGCTGAACAGAATGGGGCTGGGGAGTCCCCCTTCAAGCTGTTCCCAAACCTGGGGAGCCCAGGCCCCCCTTTGGGGTCCCCGTGGCCTCCGATACCACTGCCAGGGGCCTCCTACTCTGACTCCTTCTCCAACCCCGGAAGGAAAGTCCCCGTGACAGCCCCACCAGCCACTCACGCGTAGTCCACCTCCTCCGGGGCGGGGAAGGGTTCCCGGGGCCAATTGAGGGCACAGTTGAGGAAGATGAGGCAGGCAAGCCCAGCCCAGGTGGACATGATGACCACGAAGGGCACACCGGCGTCATAGATCAGCTGTGGGGACCGGCCGGCCGTGAGGAGGCCACCGGGCCTGTCCCATGGAGCCAGGGCCTGGGGTCTCTGCCACCCCACTCTGCCACCCCGATTGCAGACGACAGGAAACCAAAGCCAGGGACAGTCAGACCCCAAAACCCCACCCTACCCTGCCCCCGCACCCAAGCCCCCGAGGATGGACCGCTGCCCCGAGTGCTGGCCCGGCTGCACCTGCCCCAGGAATCCTGGAATCTCGTGACCATTGGGTAAAAGTTCGGGTTTATTTTCACGCAGAAATGTCACCTTGTGTCATGCGAGAGGCCGGCTGTGTTTTCCCTGCTCCTTCCTGGCACCCCTGGGCAGAGGCAGACCCCACCAGGGCAAGGCTTGGCTCCCTTTCCCAGGGGTCCCCGGGGCGGCTAGGGAGGGGTCGCCAGTGCCACCCCAGGCCTCCTGATGCCAGGGCGAACAGGCTCTGGGAGAAGCAGGCACCTGGCCACAGGTGCCCCGGGTGAGACGGCCCTGTCCTCGCCCTCCCACTCCAAGCTCCAGTCCTGCAGGGACAGAACCTGCCTGCCTCAGCCTCCGGCCTGGGGGTCAGGAAAGTATCGAGGGCCAGACCCCGAAGGGAGGACATGGCTCCCCCAGACGTCCACGCTGCTCTGCAGCACCTCTGAGGAAGCGGAGCCCAAGGCACAGCTAAGCCGGCAGGTGATGGGACAGGGGGCCCAGGCGAGGAGACGTGGTGTCCCCACTGCCGGGGCGCCAGGCTGACCTGCCCAGGCCCGGCGACCTCAGCCGTGTCCTCAGCTCCCCAGAGGGAGACAAGGCTGGGGATCACAAGGGCTGGACACCACGGGAACAGCAAAGCCTCCGGGGGTCCCCACCCCGCACCCCAGGGAAGGCACTGAGGCAGGCGAGGGCACAGACAGGAGAACAACACGAAGCCCTGGGAGAAGCAGAGGGACAAGGACGGCTACATCAAAACATGGGAGAGGCAGGTGAGGGTCACCCTGTCCCCCACCCCAGCCACTCGCAAGCCAAGGTCTGCGACCGGCCTACATCTGGCCTCCTTAGCACTGTGGGTTGGACCCCGGGTCCGCCCTCTAAAATCCCTGTGTGGTCAACTCTGCAGCCGAGAGTGGGCTGCATCACAGAGGACTCCTGCCCACCCAGGAGCCCAGACCTGCCAGCAGAGGCATGAGCTCTTCTCACCGGCCCACTCCCCGCTGTGGGGTAAACCTGCACTCATGTGTTACTTCTTTTCTTTTATTTTACTTTTTTTGAGACAGAGTTTTGCAGTGTAGCCCACGCTGGCCTCGAACTGGCATTGATCCTCCTGCCTCAGCCTCCCAAGTGCTGGGATTACAGCCGTGGTGTCTCAACCAGCTTTTTTGCTTACTCTTGTTATTCCTTTTTGATAAATCTGATTCTCGCTGCTTTCTGAGTTTCCTGCTCACTTCTTCATTCAGGACACCAACAAACAACGCCAAGACCCGCCCCCGGTCCAATAACAACGGATTAGAGGGCAACCAGGGCAGCAGAGAAAGCCTACGGATGAGAGGGAGGCCAGCGTGGGGACTGCAGGTGGCAGGTCTCCAAGGCTGCTGCTCCCTGGCCCCACCTGGGTCCGTGCCAAAGCCAAAAAGCCACCCAAGGGGACCCTGCCGGCCCCCCGAAGCTCTGTACCTTGATCCCTGGGAAGGTGATGGCGGAGGAGGCGTAGGAGCCGATCATGAGGGCCATGAAAGTGGAGCGCAGGTTCCCGAACATGTTGGGCAGCTGGGGAGGAAGCAGCCCTGAGCAGGGTGGCCCCCAACGCCGCCCGGGGCTCCCCTTTCCCCGGGAAAGCCGAGGCACTGGCCTGCAGTGTCAGAGTGAGTGCCGGGGACACTAGCCCTGGAGTCCCAGGAGAAAAGTCACCAGGAGGGCCGGGGATTAGCTCAGTGGTTCCGGTGCCTGCCTCGAAAGCACAAGATCCCGAGTTCGATCCCCGGTACCAAAATAAGTCACCAGAAAACCCTCGTGGGGAACTAGGTTCTGCCCTTCTAACACTCAGTGCCCAGAAACGCCCTCCACCCACGAGAAAGCTGTTCACACTGGCTCGTCCTAGGGCTGTCCAAGTGAGTTGCTTACGGAGCCCCATTACCTTTGGGGGAGCCTGGGGACCAAAATCAGGGTCTCCTGCAAGCACTGTACAGATGAGCCACACCCTCACCCCTGGCCACATGAGCCCCTGAATGCCTCACTGAGCGGTGCTGAGGACACTGATCTATCGGTGCCAACCCCGTCACCGACGCGAAAACCGAAGCCAAGTGGGGAGGACGCATCCCCGAGTTCAGCGTCAGCGTGGTAGACTTGCTCCCCTACGTCCTGTCCACCAGGACCGCTGGTGGCCGACTCTGCCCTGAGCCTCTTGGTGGCCCCAAGCCCACAGCCCCCAGCTCCTAGGGAACCAGGACAGATCCTGCGCAGGGCAGGAGGGGGCCCGAGTCCCCTCACCCGTGGTCATGGCCCCACCAGTCCACATCCTCCCCTGGCCACGTATCTCACAGAGACCAGGACCTTAGACGCCACACCGACCTCGGTGCCCTCCCCCAGGGGAAACCGAGGCTCAGCAGGGGAAGCCAAGCAGCTCTGAGAGGCACGGCGATGAGACCCTGATCAGAAGGTAGTGGCCCCTGGGCTGCAGTTCAGACTTCGCCCTCTGTCTGCCAGGTGCAGGGCCAAGGACACCAGGGAAGAGTCCCAGGCAGGGGCCCCCCCCAACGCTCGGGGCGGGGCGGGGGAGGGGGGCGCTGCCTCAGCCGGGCGCTGTGCAGAAGGCAAGGCTGGGCCGGCTAACAATAGGCTGACCCGGACTGATGTGCCGTGAGCACGGGACAGCAGGTGGCACCCACCAGGGTGGCACTGCGTGCCAACGGACATCCCGCTAGAGACCAGCAACAGGTGGGGGCGGGGCCAGGGAGAGGTGGGGCTGGGCGGGGCCAGCACCAGGCCTTACCATTGGCTGGAGATTACAGCCCCGGGAAGGGGGGAATGTCAGCAGGGGGGCAGGGCCTCCGAGGGGTGGGG